TGGAAAAGGGGGTGGGGAGCAGCAGCTCATTTGCATTTAAAGAGACAGGCCCAAAAAAACTGCGTGTTTCTGCTTCCACTCAAAATAAGCATTTTCAAAATGATATAATAAATGATCTGTGGAGTATTTTGAGCTGAAACTTCATAGACACATTCTGGGGACACCAGAGACTTATATTACATATTGTAAAAAGGGGCATATTATGTCTCCTTTAATTAAAATGAACATGAAAGAAGAAAAGATCTAGTTCTGAATATTAACAAAAACTATAACAGTATCTCAATGATACTTAAATGATTTATTTCAATATCAAGGTTGGGCTTCATTCAGAACTTCATTCATTGCCTTTTGAAGTCCATTTTAATTCCTAAATTTATAATTGATAAAGCAAACAGGACTGTAATTTAAATTGTGAATTGTCATTTAAAATATAAAGAAGTAAATTTGAAAAAGAAGCCATGTGTTTTTGTGTGAATTTACATTATTCAGGCCTGTGAATTAGTATTTTTCAGTGGTGTGTCTCAGTGTAATAAATATCATATTGGTCATGAGGTGTTTATAATTGTCTCTACAGACACCACAGATGACCACACGCTGCTCTGGCTTCTGAACCACATACGGCTCGGCATCCCAGAGCTCATTATCCAGATCCGACATCACAAACACACCAGGATGTACGCCTTCTTCGTCACGGCCACATACGAAAAGTGAGAGGGAGCTTTTATCTTTCCTTTACTTTAATCTCCTGTGTTTGTGAACGCTTTCTTCAGGTGATGCAAGATGACACATGAGGGTCAAGCAAATGCGAGTTTGATGTTTATTGTCATGTTCCAATATGAGCCTCTAAAGAATGCCTGAGAATTTGTGGACCTTATGGGAGCTCATTGAATCAAGACGGTTTATGAAATACACTAACGTTCAAAATAGTGGGGTTGGTAAGATTTTTAAAAAGTTTTTTGAAAGAAGTGACTAATGCTCACCACGGCTGCATTTATTTGATTACAAAAACAGTAATATTGTGAAATATGATTACAATTTAAAGTGTTTTCTATATGAATATATTCTAAAATGTAATTTATTTCTGTGAGTCAAAGCTGAATTTTCAGCAGCATTACTCCAGTCTTCAGTGTCACATGATCCTTCAGAAATCATTCTAATTAGGGGTGCTCCGATCAGGATTTTTGAGGCCGATCACTGATCACCGATCACAGAAAGCAGTATCTGCCGATACCGATCACCGATACCGATCACCGATACCGATCTTTTTAACCCCCTTAATTACTTTTGCATTTACTTCTAGATTTATATATTAAGTTGCTCAAGCAATTGGCAAAACATTTAAACTACTTTTCTTGCGTTATCACAAACTTACCATTGACAGAAATAGTCAGCTCTACTGCCTTTTCTTTTGCATTGAAATCTTTATTACAAGCAATCCTGAGGTTCATAAAGAACTTTGTTTTCCTACCTCCATGAGTGCCACCTGTTATTGCCTTCTTTATCTAAAAGTGTTCTTTCCCTTTAAATCTAGCCAAAAAGCCATATGTGTTGACTGTGAAACACAGTAGACTGTAATAATATGCATTTATGGTGTAATTACTAAATTTTCGTGTCAATCCATGATCATATTTACTGCAAACAATAGCACCAAACTTTAATTCGGCGCTTGCAGAGCAGCAGTAGACTCGGTGCGGAAACGATCTCTGCACTGCTGCAGACACACCGCTCCTGAATGCACTGAAGCCATTTGCGTATTTTGAGAGAGAAAGAGAGAGTGCGCGCGGTGATTCACTCACGCTGTTTGTGAAATTACGTCTCACACAAGGTTTTCAAATTACTTTATAAGTTATTTAATGAAGAAATATGAAGATGAGTACCTCACCTTCAGTATTATAATTATTTCACCCGCGCCGGACAGAGACTGAGACGGTGCCGCTGCATGTCGTGCCAAACCTCTCACGGCAGCGTCATCAGATTGAGATCGTTTTTTTGAGATCGGCCTTTTAGAGACCGCCGATCAATCATCCCAACGTGATCATCGGCCGATAGTGATCGGTAGCCGATCAATCGGAGCACCCCTAATTCTAATATACTGATTTGCTGCTCAAGAAACATTTCTTATTATCAATGTTGAGAACAGTTGTGCTGCCCAATATTTTTGTAAAACATTTTATTTTTTGAAATATTTGAAATAGAAATTTTTGTGACAATGTAAAAGCCTTTAGTGCAACTTTTTGTTCAATTTAATCAAGATTATTCAAGTTAAATAAAGCAAAAAAATCATTACTTTAAATGTTAACTAAAATAAAAAAAGACTTATTTTATTTCAGCTAGTTAACAAGGCAACATTTCTCATTTTCATTTAGTTTAACGTGATGTATTAAAATGACTAAAACTAAAATTGAAATAAAAATTAATAAAACTAGACAAATTATAATTATATAAACTGTATTATTATATCAAGTATAAAAGTAACAAACTAATAAAAATGACTAAAATATACACAACTTTAAAATGAAAATGAAAACATAAAATATAAAAATAAAATCCAATTCAAAATATTAACTACTATAACTACAATAGTATCTCAGTGATACAAAACTAACACTGAATTTAATGCATTCTTGCTTAATAAAAGTATAGATTTGAAAAAAATAAAAATCTTCTGACCCCAAAATTTTGAATGCTAGTGTACAGTTTGTTCTGGAGCATAAGTTATATTTTTCTTTGCTTTATTGTTGTTCATGGTTAAAGGCTAGCTTGAGTTTGACTTTGTTGCTGATGTATTTTTTGTTGTGTGGTCAGTCTTTTACGAGGGGCTGAAGAGATGGAACTGCAGAAAGCTGTGAAGCCGGAGTTTGGTGGCGGCTCTCGCAGTTTCTCCTGTGAGGAAGATTACATCTACGAGAACATTGAGAGTGAACTCTGTTTCTTCACCTCACAGGTCCTTCACAATATTGAGCATAAAGGTTTTGATACAGCATTAAGTTTGTTTTTGTCCATTTGTTATCAAGGCTGCTGATGACATCTCATTTAAACAGAAAAAAGCTATTACAATTTGGAACTTCATACACTAAAAAGAAGTAGTAACCTAAAATGGTAACATCTAAATAAACTGGTTTTATTCAAGTAAACATTATTATTTAATATCATTGAACATAAATACATTCATTTATACCAACAAAACAACTATATATATATATGTGTAAAATATTGTACAGCACAAATAAACTTTAAAAAATAATAATTATACAATTGATATTTTATAATATTACTAAACTGGTAAATTATATTAAATATATTAAAAATATTTCATGTTAATTGAAATAAAGTTGAAATAAAATAACATAGAAATACTTAATAGAACCTAAACTTAAACATCTGGCAAATAACTGAAATAAAGTCATTTGAAGTTTAAGTACTAAAACTAAAATTACACTCTAAAAAACGAATAAAAATAACAGAAGTGCATAACAAAATTACTAAAACTTAAAGTTTAAAAAAACTAAAAACTTAAAATAAAACTTTACAAAAAATAAAAATGAAACAAATTCAAAAATATTAATAAATACTATAATAATATATAAATAAATCATTTGTAAAATTGAAAAGTAGTGCCAACTCAAAGACATCGACATCGAGTTGGGTTGTACATTTTTTGTAACATGAACATTATTGTAGATTGAACCGTGTTCTTTTCCGTATCACAGGAACGTCAAAGCATAATCAAATACTGGCTGGACAATCTCAGAGCTAAACATGGGGAGGCCCTTCACAACATCCACTTCCTGGAAGGGCAGCCAATCAGTGAGTTCTTCTCCTTAGACTTCCTGAGAGCCCTGAGACGTGTGTGCCTGATCTGTACCAGTGGCCTGTATGTATGTATCAGTCGCTCAGTATCTTGATGGTCTGTACCTGAAAGTAATTTGATTTTGCAGGCTGAGGCTTTATATGTTGCTGCTGACAGATGTAGTGAACATTTCTGGAAGGAAAAGTTTTACCAAAGGTTTGAATACCTGTTCATGTTGTGTGTGTGTGTTAGTGAGCGTGAACTGTGTGTGTCTGTTCCAGTTCCTGAGCTGAGGGCGCGAGGTGTGATCCAGCAAGTCTTCCCGCTTCATGAGCAGAGGATTCTGGGACAGCTGATGAAGTCGTGGGTGCAGGCCGTGTGTGAAAAACAGCCACTGGGTTAGTAGTTCGCAGTGGGAAGTCAATTAAATATGCCATTCTTTTCCATTTGTTGTTATTTTAGAATTGAAAAATAATGTTGCTAATAATGTTGCTAACAACCCAGCTGCTCTTAAAGGGTTAGTTCACCCAAAAATGAAGATTAGGCTGCGTTTTACTCACCTCCGAGGCATCCTAGGTGTATATGACTTTCTTCTTTCAGACGAATCCAGTCGGAGTTATATAAAAAATTGTCTTTGATCTTTCAAGCTGTTTAATGCCACTCAGCGGGTGTTGCATTGCTTCAGTCCAAAAGAACTTAAATAAAAATCGCCCATCCATATCCACTATGTTCCAAGAGTTGCTACTATTGTTCGTTTGATTGATATTTCTGTCGCTATGTTCTTAGACCAGCAGGGATATCTGCTGTGTGGTGTTTGCTCTCTTTAATGTGGTGTGGGCCACGTTGTTCTTGGAGCGCTGGAAACGCAGAGGGGCGGAGCTCGCCTATAAGTGGGGTACACTGGACAGCCCAGCTGAATCACTGGAGGAGCCCAGACCCCAGTTCAGGGTAATGACTACGGCAAGCAATTCAAAATTGTAATCGAATTAATTTCATCATGTGCCAATTAATTAATATACATAATTGCACATCAATTTTGGACGGAGAAATTACCCCCAAAACATAATTTAAAGTCATTATTGTGTTGAATGAGAAAAGTATTAAATGGCCATTACAAAAAAAGTAGCTTTAGAAAGAAGTATTGTGATTCATCATTGCATAAATAATGATAATAAATGGGTATTAATGGTTTTCGGGGGGAAAATGAATATTAAAATATGAAATGATTCTTAAAAAGAAATGATACTCTAAATATGAAACTAAAACCCATAATGAGTGAGTCATTCAGCCATTCATTCCACCGATTCATTCAAACTGCTGCTCCATTCAGAAATGAATGAATGGGTCACTGAATCATTCGCTCACTCGTTTTGTTGAAAAACATTGATTCATTCAGTAGCGAAACAACAGTTTTGCTGTGACTTTGTTTGGAATTATTTTTGTTCGCAAAACAGACAATATTGACAACATTGTGTCTAAAATGTCATTTTTTATTTAACTATTGTATAAAATCAATAGCACTTGTGCAGATATAAAAAAAAAAAAACAGCTCTCTTGCTCATATGATATTGCTAAACTATATCATATACTGTAATATACATACAAAAAGACAAAACCAATTATAAAGACAAAAACCCATACATTTTATCTTGATATCTTGAATTTTAGGGGCATATAACTGCTTTCTAATAGGCTACATCACACAGTCAGTCGTCGTCCAGCATCATGTGCGTCACTAAGCTACTGCATGCAATGTAAGATGATGTGCAGGTCCGGGCCGTGTGTTAATCATTTGAATGCATAATTTTTTCCAAAATTAACTGCACCAAATTAACGCATTAAATCGCTAGTCTTAGTAATGGCATCTGATGCATCTAAAAACACGTCTTTTAAACGGCTCTTTAAATGATTTTTCTCTCTCTTGCTCTTCGGGTCAGGGTGTAAAGCGGTGCAGCCCAGTGACGGGCTGTGAAGAGTTTTATTACCCACCGTGGAGGAGGAGAGTGTTCAGATGGCTGGTCAGCTTTCCCATCTGTATATTATGCCTTTGCTTTGTATTTCTGGCCATGCTTGTCTGCTTTGAGCTTCAGGTGAGTTACACACTTTCTCACACACACTGATCTATGGTAGTTGACGTGTCCTGCCGTCAGACAGCCTATTTTTCATCATTTTCTAATTATTATGTATGCAAAGTAAAATAATTAATAACAAATGATGACAAGTAACAGGACCCAAGATATGCCTTATACGTTCATATATCAAATTTTAACCTAATATTGTTATGCTGATATTATAAAGTCCATTAGGGCTGGGTGATTTTTCCGATTTTATAGATTAATTCAAATTTAATGTTTTGGTGGCAAAACATTAAATTCGAATTAATCTATAAAATCGGAAAAATCATTTAAAAATAAAAATTATTTTATTTTTTATAAATCGAGGAATCACGATTTTGAATAGAAATATTACCAAACGTTAGAATTAGACACTCGACACGGGCAGTGGAATAGGAAAAAATGCAGGAAGATGGAAGTTCTTTTAACTTGAGCTCCGTGCTTTTAGAATGCCGTTTCATGCATGAGATGCTGCAAGAGACGAGAGCGCAACTATGAAAAAACTATGGAAAAGCGGTGCAATCCAATAAAAACCTGTTAAGAACTACTACTGTATGTCTGAAATTTCATGTTTGCATCATGTTGGCAGGCTGAAAGCTGCAGTTCATTGTTTTTACAGAACATTTATAGTTAATAATAGTCTGCTGGTGTTTTACCTTCAGTCATTTTGAATTTGAATTACCTTGACTTTCAGAGGGTTAATAAAGAAAAAGTTTCTTGAATCATGTTTTCAAGTTGACTTGTTAAAAATCGTAAAAATCGAGAATCGGTCGAACGTTCTGAAAAAAATCGAGATTTTTTTTTTTTTCCATATCACCCAGCCCTAAAGTCTATAAACGCATTGTGCATTATACATTATTGTTTCTTAGCTGCAAAAAATGCCAAGGGTATGCAGGAGAGATAAAAAGGTCTTTAAATAACATTTTTTAAAGAAAAAAAATTAAAACATTACGTTACGTTAAACATTATAAATGGTCCTCATGGGGAAAAAACACAATTATGATAATAATAATATATGACATATATGATGTTTCTATGGAAGCCCATTTCCACCACAGAATAAAAAAATGAGAAAAAAAGTCATAATTTTGAGAAAAAAAAGTCATAATTATTTGAGAAATAAAAATAAATAGAAACTAAATCGTAAAAATCGAGAATCGGTCGAACGTTCTGAAAAAAATCGAGATTTTTTTTTTTTTCCATATCACCCAGCCCTAAAGTCTATAAACGCATTGTGCATTATACATTATTGTTTCTTAGCTGCAAAAAAATGCCAAGGGTATGCAGGAGAGATAAAAAGGTCTTTAAATAACATTTTTTAAAGAAAAAAAATTAAAACATTACGTTACGTTAAACATTATAAATGGTCCTCATGGGGAAAAAACACAATTATGATAATAATAATATATGACATATATGATGTTTCTATGGAAGCCCATTTCCACCACAGAATAAAAAAATGAGAAAAAAAGTCATAATTTTGAGAAAAAAAAGTCATAATTATTTGAGAAATAAAAATAAATAGAAACTTACAATTCTAACTTTTTCTCTCAATTCCGAGTTTATATCTCAGATTTCTTTTCCGCCACGGAATAACAAATAAGTAATTTCGACTATTTATCTCATGAAATTGCAAGCTTATATTTAACAATTGTGACTTCTCTCAATTCAGATAGAAACTCAGAATTGCGAGAAAAAAGTCTCAATTGTGAGATTACCTTTTTTTATCCTGTGGCAGAAATGATCTTCCATATGTTTCACCATAATACAGTATATGATACAAATAATAAAAGTAATATTAAAATGGATTTACATATTAGTGAGTGCAAATGCTTGAGTGCAAATAGAAAATAGTTCATGTAATGTGAGTTGTAATGAGGTGATGTTTGGCAGGAATTTGTGATGGGAATTAAGGAGCTTCCACGTGTAGCAAGATTCATCCCTAAAATCATGTTGGCCATCACTGTGACGGCGTGTGATGAGGTGTACAGAAAGATCGCCTGCTGGCTAAATGACATGGGTGAGTCACAGGATATATGTGGTCATTTATTATTTAAAGTGTTCACGAACACTATATTCAACAAAACTGGATTTTAGGAGGGAGTTCTGCATTAAACTCGGGAAGTTTTGGTTTACAGTTTGTCAGTAGTAAAAAGTAACAATCCGAAATGGATTATGGTCTGGATTTTGGGAATTCGGCCCTCCAGAAGCTAAACGCAGGAGTGAGAAGGAGACAGAAGATCAACACTGGCTAGTTGTTAGGCTCCTGTGAGCTGAATACTAATGTCTGAGTCTTCTGTTTCCCACAGAAAACTACAGACTCCAGAGTGCCTATGAGAAAAATCTCATCATCAAAATGGTTCTTGTAAGTATCAATAGAAAAATAAATAAATACTTTATATATAAAATGTTTAATGACCAGACTGGGTTTTAAATATTCATAAACTTTTACTAAAACTAAACCAGTTTTGTTCCTCAAATGTTCTCTTTCTTTCTCAGTTTCAGTTTGTAAATTCTTATCTCAGCCTTTTCTATATTGGATTCTACCTCAAAGACATGGAGCGTCTGAAAGAGGTGAGAGTCTCGGACTGGACCATATGAACACCTGCTCTGAGCTTCTAACTAAAACTACACCACAGAAACACAAATCACTCAAAACATCAGAGCTGCATGCATTCTGTAAATATAATGAACTGAAATATATATGTGACCCTGGACCACAAAACCAGTCATATGGGTCAGTTTTTTGAAATTGAGATTTATACATCATCTGAATGCTGAATAAATAAGCTTTCCATTGATGTATACAACTACTTGATACAACTATTTGAAAATCTGGACTCTTGAGGATGTAAAAAAATCAAAATACTGAGAAAATCGCCTTTAAAATTGTCCATCAGATTTCAAACTTCAAATTTACTGTATATTTATATACACTACCATTCAAAATATGGGTTCACTTTTAATATTTTAGATTAATAGTTGCTCACCAAGACTGATTTATTCAATCTAAAATACAGTAAAAACAGTATTATTTTGAAATAATATTAGAATTTAAATTAACAGATTTCTATTCTATTCAGAAATTCTTTGATGAAAATAAAGTTTAAAACAACAGCATCTATCTGAAATATAATCCTTTGTATCATTATAAATGCCTTTACCGTCACTTTTGATCAATGTAATGGATCCTTGCTGAATTAAAGTATACATTTCTTTTAAAAAATCTTACTGACCCCAAAGTTTTGAACTTGTGTTATTTTAGTATCATTGAGATACATTTATAGGGTTTATATTTTGAATTTATATTTTCTGTTTTCATTTCATTTTATTTTTTAATGGTTAATAGTTTAATACTTTTATTAATAGTTAATAGTTTTTATTACATTTTATTTCCGTTTTAGTTAAGTACATCAACTTAAACTAAATGAAAATGAGAAACTAGCTGAAATCATTTTTTTATATTTTATTTTAGTTCAGTTAAAATGTATTTTATTTCAAGCGATGAAGGTCCTTTATGGTTTTAGTTTTAGTTAACTATAATAACAACCCTTTTTTGAATTTATTTACTTGTAATTAAAATGAACATTTTAAATCAAACTGCCCAACTGTGTCAGAGTGGAATCGACATTATCAGTGCTCAGCCTTGTAAGGTGATGGTGTAACGTGTTGGTGTTCCTATTGCTGTAGATGCTGGCCACACTGCTGATTATCCGGCAGTTTGTGCAGAACATGAAGGAAGTCCTGCAGCCCTACCTGGCCGAGCGCCACCGACTGGGTGAGCTCACGCTGCGGGCCGTTTGGGAGCTGCTGGTGTCTGCACTGCTCAAGTATGGGCGGCTTGCAGCAGGACGAGCACAAGTGTCACCCAGCGACCCCACCGTGCTCGGGTCAGGCCTGCGCGGGCCACAGATGGGTGAGGAGGGCCCTCGGGAGAGACGAGAACGCAAGTGTCTGGACGGTGGCTGCGGCGTCCCGGATGAGGATGTGGAGGAGGAGCCTGGGGAGAGGCACAGCGAAGAAGATAACGAATCGGAGAGCCTCATCGACTGCGGCATGAAGCTCCGGAAGGTCAGTTTCATTGAGAAGGTGGAGCGTAAGTCCGCAAGCTGCGTCAGCCCGGTGGACGACAGCTTCCTGGAGGAGGGGAGTCCCACCATGGTGGAGAGGGGCATGGATCCTGCCTCAGTTTTCGAGATGTGTGATGATTATGATGATGAAAACGGGGTTCCGGAGATGAAGGAGCTGACAGCCGAGCCGCTGCCAGCGGGAGTGGAGAACAACACGTCAGTCCGGCTCAGGAAGAGGGGGCGGAGCTTAGAGAGGGCTGACGGTAAGACCAAGAGAGATTCGTGGATGGATCCTCCCGAGGAGCAAGAAACCACCACGTTAACACAGGCCGAGATGGAGAGCTGCATGCAAACAAACCAGGTCAGAAGGCACACCATACTTACTACTTATATTTTTGTTTTCATTTTTCTGTTTAGATTTGCATTGAAATGTAAAAACAATAAATGAATTAGATTTTTTTTTAAATTTAAATCGAATACATTTGAATATAATATAGTTGGATATAATGAAACATTTACATTTGGCCCATGGCCTTCAATCAAGTTTTTTTTTTTTTGCCCTTCGTATTAAAACACCTAAAACAAGCAGCAACTAACATTTTATTGAGAAAGTGTTCAAATCTAATTTAAAGGGATAGTTCGCCCAAAAACAAAAACTGTCATCATTTACTCAATGACAAGTTGTTCCAAACCTGTATGAGTTCCTTTCTTCTGTTGAACATAACAGAAGATATTTTAAAGAATGTGGGTAAGCAAACAGATGCTGGTCCCCATTGACTTACATAGTATGGAGAAAGAAAAATACTATAAATGTCAATGGGGACCAGCAGCTGTGAGGGTGAGTAAATGATGACAAAATTTTCATTTTTGTGTGACCTGTCCCTTTAATTTATGTCTTCAAAAAAAATCAGTGTTGACCATCATCATCATTAAAACAAGCCTACTTATTTAACATACATTAAAATGGACTAAAATAATTTGCTAATACGTAAAACGTCGCTAAAATGTTTTCTTTTGGATGTGAAACTAACATTCAGTTGTTGTTTTCGTGCCATTTATGATTTGGAATGTAGCTCAGAATGTATATCCAAGTTGTTTAGCAGATGATTGTGCACAAATAAGAAAAAATAAATAAATACTTTTATTCAGCAACGGCGCATTAAATTGATCAAAAGTGACAATAAGGTTTGACATTGTAAAATAAATTAATTAATTAATTAAATAAATGCTGTTCTTTTGAACCTGATGTGAAATTTTTTTTTAAATGTATCATGGCTCCACAAAAACATGAAGCACCACAACTGTTTTCAACATTGATAATAAAATGTTTTTTGAGGATTTTTTTCAAACTTTTCAACAGTAGTGTAAAATACAATTTCTATAGTATTTTAAAGATTATTAAAACAGAACACAGTGGTTTGCAATTGAAGTACTCTCTCACAGATGTCTCTGTAACGTGTGTGTGTTCTAGAGTACGGATGTTCTACTGCCTGCAGGCAAGCAGATCCTTCTGACTGACATACTTTCTTCTAAACCTCTAAAACAAAGTGTCCCTAAATTGCTTTCCAGGACACTTTCCAGGACTACCAGGAGATGTTTGTTCAGTTTGGATATGTGGTGCTCTTTTCCTCTGCCTTTCCATTGGCCGCCATGTGTGCCCTCATTAACAATATCATTGAGATCCGGAGCGACGCGTTTAAACTGTGCACCAGCTTACAGAGACCTTTCGGCCTGAGGGTGTGGAGCATCGGGCAATGGCAGGTTAGACTACACTGAGTACTCTGAAAATCATTAGAATACTCATCTGATGCTGCTCTAAGAGTGTCTTTATACAACAAGGTTGTGTAAAAGTCCTGTGTCATTGCACAGACAGTGATGGAAGCCATGGGTCTGATTGCCATCATAGTGAACTGCTATCTGATTGGTCAGTGCGGGCAGCTACAAAGACTGTTTCCCTGGCTTAGTCCTGAGATGGCCATTATCTCCATCGTCATCCTAGAGGTACGTACACACACTCGAGTACATACACACCAGTGTTATTTTAGTATCATTGAGAGACAATTAATGTTACTATTGTTCTTTATTAATATTTTTAATCAATTTTGTTGTGTTTTTGCCTTTTTAGTAGGTATATACATGTTTATTCAATTTTATTTCAGTTTTAGTTGTAGTTATTTAAGTACATCATGTTAAGCTACGTTAAAAAAGAAATGTTGCCCGGCAACTAGCTGAAATAGTGTTTTTTAAGGGTTTTCATTTTAGTTTCAGTTAACTATAATAACTCTGATACAACTCTTTATTAGGGATGGGTGATATGCCAAAAAAATATTTAAAAAAAATTTCAGGAAGGCTATTTTGCAAGTTACTGAGCAGTAAAAACTAGTACAGCCAATATAAGTAAAAAGCTCTCATGCTATTGAAGACATGTAAACAGTCAGAACAAAAAACAAATGGCAAGCACTAGAACAAATAAACATGATACAAATGAAGTAAATTGTGCAGGTAAGTCTGACTAACAGTATTGAGGTAAGAAATACTACAGAAATTGAATAAAGTAATCAAATGTAAAATGCAACACTGGATGAATGAATGAACTGTTTACATTCAATTAAGACAACTCATGATCTATGCCTATTGTAAACTACATGATTTTCTGTCAAATCTGTCAGCTCTGACTGCCCAAAATAAGGCTCAGACTTCAGCAAATACCGTCAAATCGTCCAGACTGCAACCTCAGGCAAAAGGTTGTGTAGTGTATTCCAGCCTTTAGAAGAAAAGCTTCTTTCTATAAGACCCTCAGGGCAAAAAGTATTCCGCAGTAAATCACATGAGATTAGCTTTGTCATTTGCACTTACTTCAAAAATGTTATCATTATTACTTCTATGCTTCCAGTACAATCATAAAGCATACCTCTATTTGCTTCTCAAACCATGCCAGCAAGTCTGAAGTTCCTCCTGAACTGACCTCTTTCACTTGAAGACCTGTTGTATTCAGTTTCTTGTCCTAGCACACAAATGACAATAAACTGACTTTCTCTCTTTCCTCGCGTGAGCAGCACTTTGCAGTACTACTGAAGTATATCATTCATGTGGCAATACCAGACATCCCCAGCTGGGTTGGAGAGGAAATGGCCAAGCTGGAGTTTCAGCGCAAAGAGGCGTTTAAGGTAATACCCCATCCACCGTTGAGCGAAACAATATTTAGGAAACTGAATATTATAAGGATTGTGGTATAGACTCTTTTGACTTGAACCAGTACACAACCACAAACAGCTGATCAACACGTTCTGAATCTAGCATTCTGGCAGCAACTGGATTCATTGCTGGTGTACATGTGTTTTCAGAAGCATGAGCGTCAGGCACAGCAGCATTTCCAGGAGCAGCAAAGGAGGAAGCGTGAGGAGGAGGAGCGGCAGCGCCAGGCGGAGTATCAGGCCCGGCGTGATCGAGACGACGGCCGCTCGGACTCCTCGGGTGGCGACCACCACCACGACAAGAGCCACAGTGGCAAATCCAGACCAGGGGGTGGGGGGGAGAAACCCAAACGTCCCAGCTCGCTTCTTGGAAACAATAATGTCATGAAACTGAAGCAGATAATCCCTCTACAGAACAAGTTTTCTTCTGGCACAGCCCGTTCCCCGCAGTCACCCACGGGTAGCGAACCCAAGCTACCGGGTTTCCTCAGTTTTAAGTTCCTAAAGTCACCTGAGAACAAAAAGGAGGCAGCGGCGGCGGCGGCTTCCGCTAGTGTGTCGACAGCTCCTCCAGTCCAGGAGAGGGCAGAAAGGTCCCAATCACCTAACAAGTCCTTCAATCCTGGGAAACTGTTTAACTTTGGGAAATCAGAAGGAGGGGCATGTGTAAATGGGGCTCAGCCTTCAAAACCAGGGGATGGGGGACAGGTGCAGGACAAGCCCCCAACAAAGTCCGACCTCAATGGGGTCCCTGACGAAATCCCATCCCCTTGTGGAGAGAATGGGGATAATGGATCCTCATCCGATGCTGATCCATCAGGCCCTAAGATGTAACAAGAAAATGATCTCCATTAAAAAAAAAAAAAACAGTGTGAGACTTAGTAACACTGAGGGCAGGAGAGTGGGAATGTTTTTGAGGCTGTGCAAGACTTGACCTGAAAGCTGTTAAGTAAAATAATGGGGAATTCACTAAAAGCCCGGGTGTACTTCATTTTCCGCGTTCTATCTGTCTAGCGCACAACTGAGCCTGCAAGTGTACTATATTGACGCGGAGCATAGATGGATGTGTTCGGCACGTGCGCCACCTAGTGGACTTCTATTTTTTGAGTACTGAAATCGCTCGCACATGCACTGCTGTATGCACACAAGTCCAAAAATTGGGCTGTAAGCAGACGGTGTGCACGGCTAATAATGAAAATTGCGTCACGTGGACTGTTCTCAAGCCAAAGCAGAACACGGACTAGGGAAGTTTATTTCCGGCTTTAGAATACATTGGGTCCAGATTAACGTTGTGTATTTGCACGTGTAGCGTGCTTCATTTTAGCACCCAGTTCACTGAAGTGAGCGTATCAGGTAATAGTCGCTACTAGAGGTCGACTGATAATGTATTTTACCGATAACGATTTAGGTTGGACCGCAATGGCCGATAACCATCCACTAGTTTTTAAAATGGATACTGAATGAAAACAAACATAACACTTCAATAAAATAGTGCAGACCTTTCTAACAGAAAAAAAAAAAAAAAAAAATGAAAATATACTGTACTTTTTAAATGATATATAAAACAACGATTTGGGTCAAATATAATGTCATTTAATGGAAAATCGCCTTTATAATTTGGATTTAAATGTTTTGTTTATATGTTTCTGTGGGCTGCATGAACATCAATTTGATTTCTTACGTCACTAGCTTTAAATATGCAACTTTGCTGACTAACAAATGCATAAAAGTGACCAGCTGGAGATAAACTAATAGAAATCGTGACATTAAACATTTGTGTCAGGCATTTCGTCACCAAAATAGTACACGCGTACTGTATACGCATCATCCAATTTTTGTAACCATGCGTACAATGTCCCAGGCCGTTGTTTCACAGAAAATGAAACTGAAGAGACAGAACAACAACAACAAAATATGAAGACTGCAACAACAACAGACACCCGCATTGACAAGCGCTTGTGTGACACAACTAGGGCTGCACGATAAATCGCATGCGATATTTAACGCGCAACTTGTCAGAAAGCCGGTTCTGTAATCAGCGGTAAATCTCCAGTGAACAACGGCTCTGTGTAGTTAATGCTGCTCAATGTGAAAGCACGCACGTGATGGAGATTTACCGCTGATTACAGAATGGCTTTACTGACAAGATGCGCGTTAAATATCGCATGCGATTTATCGTGCAGCCCTAGACACAACCCTGAAAAACTATGGATTTATGCCAGTAACCGATTATTCCAGCAATCATTTATCGGTGCCGATTAATCGGTAAAACCAATCAATCAGTCGGCCTCTAGTCACCACAAAATTAGTGCTGAGGGTGCTTGCACCTTATTTCCAGACAAACGCTGACAGATAGCGAGTGGTAAAATCGTAAACTTTTAAAAATGACAAAAAAAATTTGCTTGCTGCTGGAAAACGTACACAAACATCCATTTTAAATACAAATCCGTTTTCCGTCAGTGCTAATCTAGCACGTTTTATAATGCACTTCATTTGCATAGAAAGTAAGATGACAACAACGTTGACGTAATTTAAATACGCATGGCGCAGTGCAATATCGGTGCATATACAACCTGGTTAAGTTGGATTGCAGCTGGTAAATGACGCATGGCTACAGCGGTGCAACTGTTTAGTGAATTCGCCCCATAATGGTCAATGCTTTGCTATATTTCAGAAGAACTACAAAGACCCCCCTCCACACACACGCACACTTATTCACACACACACACACATTGCCTTTTCTGCAATCCAACTAGGAATGCATGAGCTGCGTTTCTGACGGTTTTTAAAGTGCAATGTTTAATTACTAGTCTGATAATTGTAACATTTTATTGGGTTGCCGGTAGAAACAAAAAAAAACATGAAAAATCATTTACCTAACATTTCATACCAGTCACACAGTACGACCTCCAAAATACCAAAACAACTATAATCTCACAAGCAGCAGTTCCAACTATGGGTGGTGAAAACTTTTGTATGCGTTTAAAACAGCTGGTTTAGTAGAGCAATAGCAAACTTTACAAGCAAAAACTACTGGTGGTTAAGTAAGTCCATGCTGAATAACAGGCTCCGAATGGCGATATTCTCTTATTAATTAATAAGCGAAAATCAATAATGAAAACTGCAATGAAACAAACGCAAAGAGATGTGTGATGTTGATTATTTATTTGTCTGAAATTTGTTTATCCATTACACACTATTGTGAAGCGCTGTACACAAAGGCAGCAGGAGGGGCTGGATAGATACCTGTCAGGAAAATTAGTGTCTTCTCCTGAATTTGATGGTCATCGCGTTTGCATTGCCACCAATATCCTTATCATGGCTCTGAAACTTCAAGCTGATATATTACTTATAGTGCAGACTTTAACCCTTCGTAACTTCATCACATCAGATTGGAAACTACCCTAAACTTCAGCAAGATAGTGTTGAAACCTCTTGTGGCAGGAAAACAGATGTACAGACATTTCATACACCTCCAGTCAAACATTTGGACGTAGTGAAAAACGTTTTCATAAAAAGGCTTTTTTTTTTTTTTTTTTTTATAAAATTTTAATTAAAAAATGAAAAAGCTGACTTTGAAGGAGCTTAAATATAAGATAGTTTTGTTAACATTTTTGGTCAATACATAAATCATATACGTTATTATGTATATGAATTATACATATAGTTCAGATATTTCCATTTGTATTTTTTCATAGTTTTAAAAACTTTCTAAAATTGGGAAATGTGTTTCCAAACTGTTGACTGGTGGTATATGATAATAATTATGATAATGATTGGATAGTTCAATATTAATGAGTCATTATCCTGCAAGCCAATGTAAACGGCCTCATTACATATTAAAATGCTGTATTTTATTGTAATACACTACTGAAATAATCCACTCTCACTACTATTAATCTACATGTTGCCAACTTTAATTTATTCATGCCTACCTAATACCTATGTTTTTTTGTTTTTTTTTACTGAAGCAAAAGTAATATTTGCCTCCTCTTTGCACATTATTTTAGTGTACATCATTTTGTTTTTGTGTACAGCTGCTAAGCACGTGCTTGGGTTTGTAAATGTGAAGGAAGCCGTAAATGTTTCTCAAACAAGCCGTCTCTGACTTTAGAGGCAGTCTGAATTTGTGTTTTTCAAAGAAAGTTTGTCCTGAGCAACTAAAAGGGAGGGTCTTATCTTAACACAATGTGCTCAGTTGTTGCTATCAAAACCCGTTACAGAAGTGTCACACCCTATGAAGGGTTTCTATGAAGCAGTTGAATCTGTGTAAAGCTGGCTGCTTATATTCCAGTGTAAGGTCATGAAGAAACAAGAGGTGCCTCAAGTAATGGAATATTACATTTTTACTTTTAGGTTTCATAGAAAACAAAACAAACTATGCATTTAGTTCTTTATTTGGTTGACAGGATTTGCTGAACAGAAGTTGTTGCAATAATATTTTGGCCTGAATGGTCATTTTAATCTGTTTTATGTTCTGAATTTGTTTAGTACATGTTTATCAAGCCATTAATTATGGTTATATAGGTCATGCAGTTTTTTTTTGTTTTTTTCCATTTCATTGACAAATTCATCCATTACTACAACAACCAACAACAATATACTTCCTTTGGGTCTTAAATATGTTTTAACCAAATATGAATTAGTTTTCTCCAAAAAATTGAAACTAAATGATATTATTATATTCTTATATCCAATATGCATTGCATATGCAAAAACTGGATTTGATTATAACATTGGATATAATTTTTGTTTTGTGAAATGGTTGGATATGTTACATTCTCACAGTATTAAAAAGAGTAAAACACATCGTTCCCTGTGGCAACAGCAGCATTTATAATCTAGGAATGAAGTATGTGTCACCTAAAACAGTTTTTTGTCTTTTATTTAGTTTGATATTCCCTTGATAGAGTAACTCAGGTCCACTGACTGATGGACTGTAAGAATGTTTTTGATTATAGATGGATAGAAAAAGTCAATAATTGGTGAGGAATTGGAAGTGTTTGTTGGTAAGAGGCATTTTTTGCTTGGTCGCTTTCTTTTTGAACTGAACTCTGCAATATGACAGATCTTGGCGTATTAGAAACCGTGAGGCTGCTGCAATGTTTCAGTATCATCCGTCCACATCAAGGCCACATTATCTCTGCAGTTAATGTAGTCAGACCGTCTGCTCTGACCTAATAACATTCATGTTTCTGTTGTTGTTTAATGGAATGATTTGAGTAGTTAAGCTACCGATAGCTGCAAGCATTACGAGGCTGCATTAGGTTGTTGTCTAAGAACTGCTTTGCATTGGGTTTAACTGTGAAATATGAAGTGATTGTGATGAGGGGCCACAGAACTCCCGCTCTGAAGGCAACCTCACAAACCTATCATGAGCTCTTCCAATGTTCCACTGTAAAACTATTCTTTAGTAAAAAAAAAATAAAAAAAAACAATATTAGGGAATGGGATTATTTATTTATTTTATTTTGTCATATTTTTGTAAGAACTGAAATGGGATAATAAATAGATTTAAATGTATTGTTTTTCTGAGTTGTCTTTCAAGTTTCTTTTTTAGTTAGAAAGTAATTTATTCTTGTATGCTGCTTTAGTATTGTCAACACGCTCTCATGATTCATAGCTATTTTACATTTTGGCAAATTGGTGGCTAATTCATATGAATTTACTTTAAGAATATGAATTTAGTTAACTAAAACTGAAATAAAAATTAATAAAACTATATAGATATATATTTTTAAAAAGCTACTAAAAATGACAAAAACACTTTAAACTTTAACAAAGTTTACAATGAATCAGGAAATATAAAAATAAAAAGCTGATTTAAAATATTAATATTAACTTTAATAGTATCTCTGATACTAAAATAACATTGTTTCATGCTTTTATTATGTTGCGGTCGGTTTGACTCATTTTTTGAGTTTTTGGAAATACTGGTTGATGTTTTTCTTGAATTTTATTTTATTTTTTTCATTTGGGGCATAAAAATGCTTGCAAATGTTGACACTGGTGTGTTGTGGAATGCGCAGAAATAATTACGGTTATAGGGTAGAGTGCGGGAAAACTCCCCCCTTAAAGGACTGTGTATTTTTTTTTCTGTGAAACAAAAATCAAATGTGTCCAGAATTATCATATTTTTAGTGACAATGACATCAGTTATAAACCAAGTATGAAAAATGTCAAGAGTTTTCATGTTATTAGATTTTTAACAAAAATTTAATTTGTAGCAAGGAGGCGTTTTGCACAGGTGGGGTAAAATACCCCCAGTCTGACAAAGCAATTTGCTTTATACATTTACAGTAAAATCAGAGTACAGGCAGTTTTGCTTAAAAAGAATATGATCAGTAATTATGATTTACAAAATTATAATAGCCTACAGGTGCATCTCAATAAATTAGAATGTCGTGGAAAAGTTCATTTCTAGCTACCTGATAATAACTTGAGTAATTTTTAAATATAAAGTTCAAAACATTTTATTCAACCGACTAGTAACCATAC